TACCACTACCACCTCCACTCCATCACTACCACTACTACCACATGATTAGTACATAACACTTTTAACATCATGTCTATTTTAGTCATTATTCACAATTACAACAATTTTATATTAAAACTTACCAAACGGTTTTGACACTGCTTTTTGTACTAACAGCACTTTAAAAATATTGTTTACCAAACACGGAGCTGCTTTACTTTACAGCTAATTATTTTCAAAGCACAGCAGAAGCAACTTTTTTTAAAAGTGACAGCAATCCCAAACTGGGCCTGCGTCGTTTTCGCCTTCACATAAAAATATGGTGTGGTTTTATTTTTATTTTTAAAAGTCAAATTAAAATATGGAATAAGAGCTTGCATGCATCTTACATGTTTGGAATTATTGTTTGTTTAGGATTAAGTGCTTCATGCCTATTAGAAATAGGATCCACGATACATTATATTTAACAATAAAAGAGGAAAGGGAGATTCGAACTTGAAAGCTATTGGTTTTGCCCTTGATAAAAACGTTTAATCATAATGGCGCCCACATCAAGAGGGGAGTTGGTAGCTTGTATGTTTTCTTTAATGGAGTTTGAGTTAATATTAGAAAATGGGAGGAGCAAATGCATTGATAATCTCAATAAACATTGGGTAGAACCAAAAAAATTTGATGGGTGTGACAAGAACGTTCATCCACTCTTTTTTAATACAATCAATGAATCTTTACAATAACATGGTCCCATAGATTAATTTGTGAAGGAAAGTATAGAATAAGGTCCTTTTGCTTTTTAATTGCCTTCCTTGGGATCAAGTTCTTTTTATAAAAAAAAAATCTTTCTGTGCAAGTTCTATATTTAATTGGTTTATTGTAAATAGAGACAAAAGGTCGTTAGGCCCTTTAAAAAAATTTACATGTAACAGGAGTGACACTGTTTTGCTATTTACAGTCAATAATATAATGATACGTGAAAAAATAACATGAGAATTTCTCTCATGGCTCTGGGGATTAATCTTTATTTTTAGGAATTAATTATAAAAGAGGTTTTTCTTTTTCCTTTTTCTGGTAAAAAAATGCAAAGGACGTTTATGTGGATGCTAAGCGTACTTAATAATTCTCAGCATATGATCGGGCTCTAGAAGAAGCAATCTCCTCGTCCAACAAGCATCTGGTGCTTGCTTTTGTTGAAGAATCACATGACTTGCGATTTCCAAGCCAAAGCAAAGAATAGGCGCAACCGCTATTTTTAATGGGTTCTTTCTTTTTCTTTTCCTGTTTATAGTGTAGAAGCATTAGTTTGCTTATGGAACTTAATTGCTTCAAATTCACTTAAACAAAGACATTGGCATAATAATCGTGTTTTAGTGGAGCCATCAACATGATGACATTGTCATCTATGACTGAACAAATCGTGTAGTTGAATCTCAATTAGAGTCGTAGTTGTACATTAGGTCAAGTTAGTGTAGTATGTTCATCCATTTGCACCCGAATTTAAATATCTGAATAAACTAGAGTAATTTATAATATTGCTTTATTTAACTTAAAAAATTTCAATTTAGAGTCGATTGGGCTGTCTATATTTGAAACAAGGAAGAAGTTGTTGCTATTCTTTCCTTATATTTGTAATTTATTTATTCAGCTACCAAACACATGCTTGTATCCAATCCAAATTTGCTCTTGATGTTGGTGTTCATGTGGGTTTCTCTGCATCGTTTCTCTAGAAATGAGAGCAAGGGTGGTGTTACGTTTTCGGGAAACGAAAGTGATATTGCACTCAAAAAATTGCTTGACAATGCTCCTCAATAGTGTACTCTGTACGCCCTTCAAAAAAGAATAGTGTACTCTGTTCGTGTTCGTTTTATTATTTAACATTGTGTACTTTTATTTTTTAACTTGACCCACTGAAAAAAAAAAAACACTTCGAATGTACAAGATGCTTAGCTAAATGCACTATTAGTGTCTAATAGCACAACTAACACTAATAAATGTGGTTATTAGCTAATGCCCGTGAATTTGTAGTGACTGTAAGGAAAAAGCATAATGAATTTGCGTCGACAATAGTAATAAAGAAACGTCAATTCACACACATACATACAAAACTTCCTAATTTGTCGATTTCTTTCATGTTTGACCATGTCATGAGTAATAATAATTCACATGTATTAAGGGAAGAATACTCATCTTATTTAAGTATCAAAAAATTCGATGACTAACTGGAGATCACACAATTATACACAAACCTCAGAGCAACTGTTTCCAGAGTTTCACACCCGAAACCCTACTGCATAGAACATAGGTCAAAGAACGAGGCTGAAACCCTACTCCAAATCTCAGCATCAAAACGTGGATTAGTCAAACAATTTATTTTGTTTAAGGATGAATTCTGAGTTCGAATGGCTACTTCCTCTCCGTTCCCACCCACCCACCTATCATCAAGCAAAGACAGACTGGTTTTTTATTTGGTTGACTGAGTTTTCTATATCGGGCTTCATACTTTTACTTTTCACGATCTTGTCGGCACCAGAGTTTTATAATTGCCTCAATGAAAACTACATACTCATAGCAAGGACAAGGAGGGCCACACATATTATATTTTGAGGCTTGTATAATTTTTTGGAATGAAAGCAAAGCATTTCGTTCTGTCAAATTCAAGAGATATATAATATCTCATGTAATAAATATTTGGGTTTTTTTGTTTCTCTTTCTGTTGCTCTTTCATTTTCATTTTGATGTTGATTGCTTTTAATGGATCAGAATCTCAGGTTAACATGGACCGTACAAGTGTAGTGTTGCTTGTAGGAGGCAAGGTGTCGGTAATCCTATTTTATTAAGCTAATAGAGTAGATAGATAATATTGATCTATCCAAGGTTTGGTTTGAGCATCCTTAACTGGTTTAAATTATTAATAAATAAAACAAGATGATTGGGCATCAATGCGCAGTGAGCACAGTTAATTACCAACAACGTCACATGCTTATAGTAAAGTTTACTTATAATGTTCTTAATTACGAGGACAGCCTCATGGTAATTGGCAATGACTCACAGTTAACCAAAAACCTGAAAAATACTAGATACAAGCTTGTTTTGAGAGCATTCTCTCCTGACTTCTTCGACTTTTTCCAAAACGATGAAAAAGTGAAGTTGACAGAGTTTGTAATTTGGTCATGTTTAAAAACGTTGAGTTTCATATTGATGAAATTGAAACCTTAGAGCCCATTTCGATAATTACCCTACTTGCAGGAAGTAAAATGTAGTGAATCCTATAATTTCAACAGAGATTCCCTCTCATAAAAGCAATCCATTTGAAATTGGGCTGCCATCACTTTTGGTTATATGCCCCTTATGCTTTTGAGATTGCTTATTCTCCCAACAATATGAATATACCCCATGCAAAACCAAAAGCAAGTTCCCACATAAGTTAACCAATTGTTGAAAGCAATTCCCTCTATCCCATCCCATTTTAGCATACTAGGTGCCAACACCTAACTCCTCCTTTCCTTCCAAGTTGGATATTTTTAGCCAAAAGCCATCACTAGAATTAAGGATCGAATGATGCATGCCAGGTGGTGGAGCATCTGTCTACCGATGACCACAAGAAAACAGTCATGCTTTTTGTCTATCATCCACTTAAATATTAAAATACAATTCGAAATTATCTGAATTTGAAAATAAATATCCCAGTATTGGTCATCACCATTGAAGCTTCCTTCACTTTTGAAAGGGAGTTGCAAAGAGAATTTATAAGGTCAGAAGGGTACGTGTACATTGGTTGTTAGTTGGTAGCCAACTTGGATTAGATATTTATTTAGCCGCAAATCTGGATTTTTTAACTTAAATAATTATATTTTTAGATGACATTTCTTTTTTTGGGTGGGTGGAAGAAGGCCATTCATTTCGAGAAGTCTCTAATGCTTTCGTCTTTCTTTCCTCACCAGAAGGCCCAAAGCCTTTCCCACTTGCATTGCACGACAGCAAATCGGATTGCTCCCAAATTTAGCAAAGCTTTTTGCATGGTCAGCCCAATTTAGCAAAAGCTTACGTCTCCCTCCAAATCATGAAGTTTTTGTTTGTTGCTGTTTGGATTTTGCTGGTGTTAAGAGCATAATTAACGTGTCGATGACTAGCTAATCATAATTTATTACTTAACGTAAGTTTTATGGTTGATTTTTCATCAATCAACGACTAGGAATCATTCATATACACGCAAACGACTAACGTTAATAGCGT